CTACAATCTGACGACGAACCAGAAGTACCTGGCGAACTGTAAGGGTTCCCAATCACGTCAATATCCAATAAAAGTCCACTCACTGAACCTCTCAATATAGTCCTTGAAGCCACCCGGTACAACTGCCACTTCCCTAGTGTCTCAGGACAAGTCTTTAATATTGCACCGACTCGAATTTTCTCCACGGTCCTGCTCCCCTCCAGCCTGTCTCTCACTACCCCTACGCCCAATTCTTCAAGCGTGAACCTACCATTAGTGATCGCCGTTCCCATCGTGGGATTCTTGATCCTCGTAGGTGCTCTAGGAGGCTGCTGCTTCTGCTTTATCCGCTGGCGCCGCAAGCGCGTTAGAGGCAGGCGGATGTCCAATCACTTGTACGACCGCTGGAATGATACCAGCATCAGCACGCCCGTTTATGCACAGGGCGGTTGGGGCGATCAGCAGGCGGGGGGCCCGGGGTATGGCTCGGGGGGGTTCGGGTTCGTCGACACCAATGGTCAGGCTCAGGCTGTCGGATACTCAGAATACTATGCGCACTATCAGCAGCAGCAGAAAGGTGGTTTCTCACAAGAGATCGCAGAGACACCTGGTGCTTACGCTCAGCCAGAGACCGCCGCGTACGGGGTACAGCCAGAAAAGCAACAAGGCGGGTATCAGTAATATCGCGTGTGTGCAACGTGTTTGAGTATTTATGTCTTCAAGTCGGGTATTCATGCACCGACGGAAATAATTATATGTTGTCTCACCATTTCTCGACGGCGTTGTCATTTTCAGCCTTTCATCTTGTGCGGTTTGTTGCTCTGGGCCTTGAGAGGTAGATGCAACCAATTTTGTTAATTTGGTTTCCTTGAATGGGTTTCCTTTGAACGAAAGAAACGAAGAAGTACATAACAAGGTTAAGCGTGAAGTAAACGCTCAACTACAGAACATGCCCTGGGGATAGCCCATCTATTTATCCTCCCCCCCGCTCGCTCAAACACCACATTCAAACCGAAACTGTGTCCCTGCGTCAGTCACCGACATCAAGCTCTATTTTTATCCTGGGACGATGTCTCCGTGTCTGGTATATAGCCATGATTGGCGGTTTGTTGCATCGATCGGCGTTTCGGTACGCACTGCAAAGAGACTACAGGGACCCCTGAACTATGTTGTCTATATCTAGGGAAAACTATTTCTGGATATGAGAGCAAATAAACCGAAGGCTAAAATTCCAAATAAAGTCTTGGTTGTTATTTTGTAGTTGGGCGTGATATCTATTTTGTTGGCATGGATAGACTAGACTGAGAAATTCCCAACCAAGTGCCCTCGCCAATGTTTCTACTAAGCCCCTCGCTTCGGTGCCTATTGTTTACAGCTCTCTCACAGTTAGCCTGCGGACTCCCAGGGCATGTGGAGCAAGTTTGTCCGCTCGGAGGACGGCAATTTGTCGGCGGAGCAGCAATTGCTTCGGGATCGATTTGAGATCTCCGCCTGGGCTTCCCAGTTGTGAAGCGATATTTAGACATTTAAGCGAAGGTTGGAATAACTTTAGCGTTCTTACTGGCTTTTGTTCTTCTTTTCCGACCGCTTTCTGCTACATTTAATAGGTCAGTCTTAACGAAGATAGAGGATCGCATTCTTGTTTTCATGAAGCCAATCAGAGCGGGTGGGTACCTTATCATTCGGGACCTTACCACTTCGACGGAAGCCTATCATAATGCAGCCGAAGTAGGGCATTCTTCCTCTTGGGACTATCGCAACGAGATAAGACAACCATCCGCTATCAGCTGGATACTGTTTTATCAACAGTTCATATATCTTTGCGCATTTGTTATCGCAACTTTTACAGGTAGAAATCATGCCCGACATATAGAACAAACTCCGGTCCCTGCATGGCTGACACATTTCTGGGGTGCACTCTATACCCACCTCGGCATTTTGTTGTTTGAAGCCAGTCCATCATGGCATTTACTACGGGATCGGCTTCAGTCACATCGTACCTGCATCGTCGTGCTGAGCGGGTTAGGGAACACGTCAAGCAGAAAAAGTCGCCCTCTGGCTGGGTGCTGCCGAAGCAGACGACAACCTTCACCGATGAGGGCGCGTGGTCTAACATTGATTCCGACGTGACTCCTATTGAGCGTCGCGTCTGGTCAACATGGACCGTCCTGGGTTTCTGGTTTAGTGATGCCCTCAACGCCCAGGGTTGGGAAGGTGCTGCCTCTATTATCGCCGTGGGGCTCACATGGTCAGTCGAAATGTCTTCCATATCTTCATCCTTTTTGATGCTCATAGTTGTATTAGGAGGGAAGCGCTCTACTGTCTCATCATCGGCTATTCCATGGTCATTATTCCCCTTGTGCTCAACGGAGCGATCGGCGCCCATCTCCACGTCAATTTCGCTGTGGCTTCGCGTGCTTCCTTCGGGTTCTACCTCTCACGAGTAGCAGTCGTCATCCGTATGATCACTGCGCTGTTTTGGCATGGTATGTGGTGTCTGACCGTATACTTTTTATCTCCAAAGACTCGACTTACGCTTCCCAAGCTATCCAAACATACACCGGATCAACAGCCATGACGCAAATCATTCGTGCCATCTGGCCATCCTATCTGAACATCCCGAACACGATCCCTGCCTCAGTGGGTATCACGTCGCAGCAAATGTGCTCTCACGTTCTATTTTGGAGTCTCCAATTCCCTTTTCTGCTTATCCCTCCACACAAGCTCCGCTGGTTTTTCGTGTTCAAGGCGGTCATCGTCATGATCACTTCGGTCGCCGTGGTCATCGCCCTGTGCGTCCAGGCTGGCGGTGCCGGTGATATTTGGAAGCAGCAAGCTACCGTTACAGGCCCAACCAAAAACTGGTTGATTCTCTCGTCCATGTCGAGCATTACCGGGTCATGGTACGTTTCTCGATCTCTCGCTTCCCCCCTTAAAAAGCAAGTGGATTTGGTATGGTTTTTCGCCAAGCGCTAAACCGGTCGGTTAACAGGATTACGATGGGAACTAATATTCCCGACTTTACTCGTTACTTGAAAAAATCCAATGGCGTGTATTGGCAAGCGCTGTTTATGCCCTTCATAGCATCCTTGATTGGCATATTTGGGATCATTGCGGCCAGTGCTGGCAAGGTTCTTTATGGTAGTTATATCTGGGACCCCGTCGAGCTATCTGCGCAATGGGATGGGCCAAGTGGTCGTTGTGGCGCCTTTTTCGTTGGTCTCTGTTGGGTCGTGGCACAGATTGGAACGAACATTTCGGCCAATGTTATTTCCTGCTCGAATGACATGGTGAGTATTTGAATCCTCTAGATTTTGCACGTAATTTCCCGCTGATTTGAATTCTGCAGACAACCCTCTTCCCTAAATACATCAACATTCGCCGCGGCGCTATCGTCACAACTGTCATCGGAGGCTGGGTCATGGTTCCCTGGAAGATCATCTCCTCGGCTGCTTCCCTGTTGACATTTATGTCCTCATTGGCCATCTTCCTGGCCCCGATCTGCGCCATTATCGGAGCCGATTTCTGGATTGTCAAGAGGCGACACATTGACATTCCATCCCTGTACCGGCGTCACGGCATCTATAGGTATGAGGGCGGATTCAACTGGCGCGCAGCTGTTGCCTTTCTTATTTCCATTGCCCCGAATCTTCCGGGCATGGTGCACGCCGTGACACCAAGCCTTTCCGTTGGCACGATCGATCACATCTATGACATTAGCTTTATGTGGGGATTTAGCAGTGGATTTATTATCTACTGCACCCTGAACTATTTCTGGCCGGCGACTGAGACGCTCGTCGAGACCACCATCTACGACGAAACCCGAATCGTGGACGGCGTCCTGGTTTACAACAATGGGCTTGCAACGCCGCTAGATGAGAAGTTTGCGTCGAAATCCGTCTCGCAAGAGACTATAGAGACTAGCTCTGTTTAAGAAGTTTTTGTTTTGGGTGCACCATGGTTTCTTTTTCCCTCTATGTTGCAGGTAATGATTAGAGCATGATTTGATTCGTACATATAAGAATAGACTCTGCCAAGGTGTTAGCGCTGCGTCTTTTGAGCACTACTAGTCTTGCTGTCCCGGTCCTTGTTGGCTGTATAGGACACACCAAGTAGCACAATGATCTTCAACACAGTTGGACCGATATCGGAAACGCTGGCCAAATTCGGGAAACATCCTTATCTAGATATTGAGCCTCGCCGACCGTTATCTTATCTTTAGATGTTATCTCTTTGCACGGCATTTTTGGCTATTTGTATAAAATGGCCCCCAGTGACTCATGACTTTTAGTAAATTACATAGGATTAGTTGCCTGAACATCCTATCTTAACTGACTGTCTGTTAGGAAACCGCCTAATGTGAAGCTAGAATTCTCACCCAACTCACCTTAATTGTTCTTCCTTTTCTCTATTAAATATACCGTGTTCTATTGCTACCATCTCCTTTTCGACTTATAAAGTCTAAACCTACTATATACAGTCTTTTGGAATTTCACCTAAAAATGGCTTTACTATACGTTCTGGAAGTTAATCTACCCACTGGTGGGCGTATATATGCTAGAGTTAGAGATAATAGAACTAACAGTTAGACAATTTATCTTGAGATGACACTACTAAAACACCCACTGTTACCATTTTACAATATGGTGTGCAAATAGCAACAACCGTTGTGCAATAGTAGATGTTGCTTATCTTTACGTGCCTCTAGCTATTTTAGGTAGGTCAGTAAGAGATACTAGCCAAATTAGAAAAACGTAAATGGTTTAGAAATTTCACGTCTTCTATTAGCCTGTCCGTTAAGCTTGTTTTAAGATAATGACACACAATTATCTTATCTTTACACGTCGTGAGCAAATATTCAACCGGGTGGGTGGCTACCGAGGCGATATTTCCCGTTTTGTGGTATATGCCACTTTTCTCATTGTATATCCTCTCCAGTGTTCTTTCTTTTCTTTGTTGTTGGAAATTCTGTCTTCTCAGCACCCTTCACGTAAGACCACCTGAGGAGTTACGTTACCAAGATGGCACCAACAACCAAGCTTTCTTTTCCCCATGCTCGACCCTACTCCTTCAACTTCCCCGTTGCAACCACTGCGTTTGTCATCATTGACATGCAACGGGACTTTTTAGACCCAAATGGGTTTGGCTTTATCCAATGCGGAAATCCTGAGATTTTCTCCTCTGTCCGCAAGATCGTACCCGCCGTTCAGAAAGTGCTGAATGTCGCCCGCTCCGTTGGGATGCAAGTTATACATACCAGGGAAGGCCATCGCTCGGATCTTTCAGATTTGCCTTCAGCAAAGAGACTGAGACAGATCAGTGCGCCGCATGGTCACCATACGATGGGTATCGGCGACCAAGGCCCGATGGGAAGGCTGTTGGTGAGGAATGAGTGGGGCCAAGATATCATTGACGAGCTGAAGCCGCACCCTGGAGAGCCCATCATCGACAAACCAGGAAAAGGGAGTTTTTGGAATACCGGATTTCACCGAACCCTGTTGGCCAGGGGCATCACGCATCTGATATTCGCAGGCGTTACAACTGAGTGAGACACCTTGGAAATCAAATGTTGTATGTGGTGCAAATTGACTGACAAAGGAGAAAAGGTGCTGTGTGACAACCACTTTGCGAGAATGCAATGATAGAGGATACGAATGCTGTATCCTATCGGACTGCACTGGCGGTTTCGACCAACAGATGGTGACTACGTCCCTAGATATAATTTGCAGCCAAGATGGTCTCTTTGGATACGTTGGCCATAGCTCGGACTTGATTGCCCAAGCAGAAAATATCTGCGAGCTAAACCCACCCTGTGCCACTTCGGTTTTGGACGAAGCTCTTCCATCAATTGCTGAGCTGCAACAACAATACAAACGTGGCCTTGCGGATCTAGTAACGATTGTCCAGTTTGTTTTTGATCGGATAGAGAAGTACGAGACAGTCGATCCTGCCGTGTGGATATCCAAGCAGTCTCGGAAAGACGTCCTCGCGGCAGCCAAAGCACTCTCTGCAAAGTTCGCCGGAAAGCCACTGCCTCCTCTTTTTGGAATACCCTTTGCCGTGAAGGACAGTATCGATGTGACAGGCCTAGTCACAACTGTCGCATGCGAGAGCTTTGCGTACACTGCCACTTCCACAGCTCCATCTATTCAACATCTGCTTGACGCTGGGGCCTTGTACATCGGCAAAGTTAACTTGGACCAGCTTGCAACAGGCCTATCTGGATGCCGGTCACCGTACGGCATCCCCCATAGTGTCTACAGCAAAAAGCACATTTCCGGTGGGTCCTCGTCGGGATCAGGCGTTGCTGTTGCAGCTGGACTAGTTTCATTCGCCATTGGAACCGACACGGCAGGAAGTACTCGTGTCCCTGCGGCCTTGAATGGCATCGTTGGCTTCAAGCCGACCAAAGGCACCATCTCTGCTCGGGGCTTAGTGCCTGCATGCAAAAGCCTTGATACAATCACCATAATGGCACCTTCTATAGCGGATGCACGAGAGGTCTGGTATATAATTGACCAGCATGATCCCCTAGATCCGTATGCCAAACCGCCAAGCAGTTTATCAACTTGGACGATAGATTTCCGGGGACCAAAGGAGGGGGGCTTTACATTCGGTGTTCCTCCGCGTTCTATCTTGGAAACTTGCTCTAAAGCATACCAAGACCTCTTCCAAGCGAGTATTCAGCAGTTACAATTATGTGGTGGCAGATTAGTCGAAATCGATTACACCCCATTCAGCAAGGCCGGCGACCTGCTTTATGATGCATCCCTTGTACACGAACGTCTCGCCATGGGCCACGATTTCTTCGTTAAGAATATCGATACCCTGCATCCAACCACCAAAGCTATCTTTCAGTCCGCGCTTTCTTCCGAGCTCAAAGCCTGGCAAGTGTTCCAGGATCAGGCCGCTCAAATCCAATACACCGTGCAAGCACGGAAGATTTTCAACACCCTGGAAAGCGGAATTGATGTTCTGGTCGTACCGAGCGTACCATACCATCCTACAATCAAGGATATGCTGGAAAACCCACTGGCTCTGAATTCCAAGCTTGGAACGTTCACACATGCAGGCAACGTTGTTGATCTGTGTGGTGTTAGCGTCAACGCTGGGTGGGTGGATAATGAAGAGGGGGTGAAGCTACCATTTGGAGTTACTTTTCTTGGTGGAAGTGGGTATGATGGCAAGATGCTGGATATTGCCGCCGTTTTCGAGGATTCTGTCAAAGCATAGAGCGCGACTAGAGGAAGTAAAGCAGTTAAAGGAGGCTGCAAGTATTGCATTCATGCTAGCTGGTTATAACTTGAGGTTTTCTATTTTTGTGTAACTTGTCAGGAAATGTCTAAGCTATTTCCAACGGCTGATTTGCCCTCAACTCGGGTTTGGGCGTAAAATATGATCACAGACTCAGCACACGCGTGTGCCCAGGGAAACTGGCTAAGCAGTAAACTTCATGATTGGAGGTCTGGTTGCATTTTTCCAAAGAATCCTTTCTTGGAGTTCTCCATCACCTTCCACAAAGTTCAGAACAAAGGCTTTGCTGATCGTTTGAAAACAACAGTGTAGATGCCAAAGAATAAATACAAGTACGATATGCATAAGTTGGAATGGTTCGTATTATCCAATATATTGTGGCCTGAGGAAGATCCTGTACAAAAGAATAACAAACAGGTGTATTGCACCTTGCAATGAATTTGAGAGTGCAAATATGTGCTGCATTTGTACTCTCCCAATCACAACACACATATAAATTACGCGGACGGTGAGATGTTAGATACGCTCAACGTGAGCTGTTCCAGTCTTCAGCGCAACCGACTCAGTCTCCTGCCCAGAGCCAATTGCAACAGCCTTGTCTGCATTGACATCCAGACCCATGCTCTTCATGGCATTGACACCAGCCAGCGCATCAGGCCCATCGAAGATTTCAGCCACCTCCTCCAGACCCTTCCCTTTAGTCTCCGGGAAGAAGAAGTAGATCAGAGTGAAGTGGATACCGATAACACAACACCAGACAATGTAGTATCGCCATGAGATAGCATCCATGACGACGGGATTGGCAAAACTGTTATAAAGGCCGGCCAAATTGCCAGTAAGTTGGTACATCATCGATGCCTTGGCGCGCAGCGAATACTGGACCACTTCCATAATATAGGTAGGTGCGACGGGAGAGCACATGTGGTAGCACGCACTGAAGATGAAGATCATCAAGAGGACTGCAGCGGCGAAGCCCTTATCCTTGAAGTCTCGCTCTTCGTTGAGTGCTGAGCAAATCGTCCACAGAATGTAGGCAATGCCCATGCCTCCCATGCCCCCAAGGAACAGGCGTCGTCGACCAGCGCGATCAACTAGAGTCGCGAAAACAGTAGCTACCAGGAAGCTCCAGACGGACAGACATGCGTTGATAATCAGTTGGGTCTTGGGGTTGGTGACGTTGATCGTATTGAGCACCTTAGACAGATAGTAAGAGGTGAGTCCGTTGCCAGCCCACTGGAGCATGGCTGGGATATAGAGAGCTAGGAAGAGACGGTGACGGTTGCCTGGCGTGGCCAGCCACTCTGTCCAGCGAGATAGCTTCTGCACCTTCTCCACCTCCAAAGTTGCCGTGATCTCCGCCATTTCGAACCGCACAAGACGTGAGTTCGGATCGCCGTGCCCGTGATATTTGGTGAGAACATCCAACGCTTCCTGCCGACGTCCCTGATAGATGAGCCATCTTGGAGACTCTGGGGCAAACAGGCTCAGAACAACTTGGACGAGGGAAAAGGAACACTGCAGGACACTGGGGATGCGCCAGCTCCAGGACGATTCCGTCATCTGGAAGGTGCCATAGGTAACCCAGGCCGCAATCAAAGAGCCCAGTGACCATGTGCACAAATAGAACGAGACAAGAATACCACGATGTGTTGGATAAGCGACTTCGGAGAGCAGAGGTGGTGCCGCAGTGGCCACAATTCCCAGTCCAAAGCCGATGAAGAAGCGAGAGACGACAAACATGGCGTAGTTGACAGCAGCTGCTTGAAGAATGGAGCCGATGATGATAATGATAGATCCCCCACAGATGGGATAGCGACGGCCAAACCTCTCACAGAGTTGTGACGAGACCAGAACCGAGATGAGCGTTCCTCCGTTCGGGCCAAAGGTCATCGCCCCAAGGCGAGTACCCGTCGGTGTACCGAAATACTTCTGCCACTGGGGAAGCGACTGCATACCGTTGAGCATGCTATTGTCGTAGCCGGTGGTGATCTGGGTGAGTAAGGCACACAACAGCAAAGTGTTCAGCTTGAGCAGGGTGCCATCCTTCCAAAAGGGCTTGCGGTCTTTGGGAACCACATCCTTCAGCGCAAGCCCTTCGAAATTTTCGGAGTGGGTGAGCATTGTAGCTAGAATTGTATGATGAAGTAAAGCATGCGTGGAGCCAAATCAGAGAGGCGAGGTTCAGTCCGTCAGTCTTATAGTGCGACTACCCCGGAATATTGCGAGTCCGGGGTTGCCAATGGCTTGCCACGCCTCACACGGCTGATGCGATGCAGTCTAGCAGCGACTCCTGGACCCGAGGGTTCCTGGCGCTCATTCGCACGGACGGGGAATGGTTGATGGAATTCCAGTATTCCTTTGTTTCCCCTAAGTCGGTTAAATTCAGCCACAAATTAGACTCCTGCGGGACAGTGCGAGGCCGGCCACCAAGTCGGCCGGCGGGTGATCTCACCCCGCGCTCACTCGCCCGCCGCCCGCTGGAATGGGCGCTGCTTGGCGCCCTATCAAGAATAAATGGAGGATAGTAGAGAGCTCTGATTCTGTCAGCGGTGGAAGTCATTTATTCAACAGTCAATCGACGGTCGAGTGCCAAAAATAAAACGGAAAAAAGGCCGGTTCTTCTTCCCTCATGATATCCAACGATACTCCCTCAAACTCTGAATATTCCAGAGCGGGATCAGAGGACGAACGGTGCAAATCCCCTCGCAGTGATATAACTGTGCCGGATTCCCAGTCCACAGACATTATGCCGTTAGCTTCAGTCCCGGCAGATGAGTGGCGCAAAATGCAGCAGACACTGCTCGAGCTATTTTCCGAGAACGTCCTGGCCAAAATGCTAAGGGTGGCGGTGGAGGCGCTAGAAAACAATGTATGGATGCTCCTGACCATGATTGTCGTGTCCAGTGTGGTTCCATTCTAACCTCTTCTTCCTAATTTAGGACCCACCGACGGTCTATCCCGAATTTGTGCCGCAGCATGGCGACAGTGCAGGAAGGTACTTCCTGCGGGATGCTGACTTTTGGACATGCGGCTTCTTCCCGGGAATCCTGTACCAATTGAGGGAACGGGCCGTGAGGTATCCTCAAGTCTTCCCATACCTCGGCCATGAAGGTATAGCAGTACCTGTGTCGAGCTCGGCCCTGCGACACCAGCTAGCCGAGCTCTGCTGCAGCTGGACTCGCCCAGTTAAAGCGATGATGTCACGCACAGATACCCATGATATGGGGTTCATCATTCAGCCCTCTCTTCAGAAAGATTGGGAGCTGACTAGCAATGAGGACAGCCTGCATGCTGTTCTGACTGCTGCTCGCAGCCTGGCTAGTCGGTACGTGCCTCAGGCCGGGGTCATCCGCAGCTGGGATGTCCTGCGACAAGCGGACGTTTCAATTACAAGCATGACAGATGATTGTCTGGTTATTATCGACAGCATGATGAACCTGGATTTGCTATATTACGCCTCCAAGCATCTCGCAGACTCCAGCCTCGGGGAGATTGCCACCACACACGCGCGTACTCTCCTAAAATCACTTCTGAGACCAGAGCCTACCCCTGTGGGCAGCGACAAGAGCTACAAGTACCCATTATATTCCACCTGCCATGTTGTCAACTTTGATCCCCGCACCGGGGGCATTAAGCAGCACCGCACAGCCCAGGGATACCGAGCCGACTCGACTTGGGCGCGCGGCCAGGCGTGGGGAATTTTCGGCTATGCCAAAACATATAACTGGACTAAGGATAAAGAGTTTCTTGCTGCAGCATGTGGTCTGGCAGACTACTTCCTATGGAGAATTGAGACTGCACCCCTCTGCGTAGAGCAGCCCGCGGTTGGTCATGGGCTCGATTGCCGGAAGACAATCGGTCGGTACGTGCCTTTGTGGGACTTTGATGCCCCAATCGAGAATGAAAACATGCCTTTACGAGATTCATCTGCAGGTGTGATCGCCGCCAACGGTATGCTACTTCTCTCGCAGTCACTAGGTGTGCTCGGGGACACAACCCTAGCAGAGAAATATCAGCTGGCGGCGATGAGGATAGTGTCCGACACAATAGAATTATCGCTCTCAAAGGAAAGAGCACAGTTGGCTGTGGATTCACAAAAAGGAAACACCGTCACTGTCGAAGACGTGGTGTCCGGGCAACGATTTGATTCCATTTTGAAGAATGCAACGGCAAATCACAATTCCCAGGATCATGAGCGTTACAGTGATCACGGGCTGGTGTACGCGGACTATTATCTTTTGGAATTTGGGAATCAGTTGTTGCGAATGGGCCTAGCATAGGTTCTCTCGAGATAGAATATTAAACGGTCTACATCAGTTACAAAATGGAAACCAGACAAGGATAGAATGCCTCTTGCTGCAAGTTGTGGAGAATCGGGTTTTATGAGATTTACTGAATATAAGCTACATCAGACGCAAAATATGCGTTGTTTAGACTGATAATCCGGTCCATCTCTGAGTACTGCTGATCCAGCAAAATTGACGTGACCGCGGTCAATTCGTCTGGACTCCCTGTGTTGTAGCCCAAGTGGCCAGGAACAGAGTTTAGTGCCATTTGATGATGCTGCCTAATCTCCAAATCGACGTCTACTGGATTCAGTATATCTGGTCTCCGGCTGCCTATGGGTTGAGGGTGGTGAGGAAAGCCAACAGTTGAAGTGTCACCACTGTAAGGGGTCATGTTTGCGGAATGTTGTGCAGAAGCCTGAATGTCTGGCCCACGAGAGGACAAACGTATCGCCGGATCATGGGATGCACTAATAGAGCCCTTAACTTGAGACGCAGATGCTGCGTTTATATCCCTCTTCTGACTCAGAGGACGGCCAGTCCATTCAATCTCATTCGAGTACCCCAAGACGTCGACTTTGAATGTTGTATCGTTCTGACATTTGTCGTATATGTCATTCAGTTGACTGAAATATTTGGCTGCCGAGTTTTTGCGGCTGGTGGTTGACGCCCGATTCTGACTTGACCATCGAGTTGACATGATGTCGAGGAATTTCATGAGCGTATGATAATCGGAAGGAAGCTCTTGTGTTTTGTAGTAACGCCAGTGTACTGCAGATGGAAACGGCCTATTAGTGCACTTCTCCAAGTAGACGCCTATAACAAGAAAGAATAAACAAACCTAGAAGAACTCTTGCGCTGACAAAAACGCAAAAGGCGAACTGATTATCTACAATACTCTGCGTGGGCGAGTTGTCCAGGAATTTCTGGGTGATATTGGCTGTTTCGCTGGCAGCCGTTTCGCATGTTTCTGCGCTGGACAAGATTGGGAGTTTCACCACTTCCAGCCATTCCAAGGGAGGATAGGCAATTCGTTGATGAAGGAGAATCATAGATGTGTTGTGGGTGATATGTGCCAAAGTCAGGTTCGGATCCATCGTCACCACAGCCGGCTGGCGAGATATATTTGCCTCTTTCCACTTTTGGGGCAAAAACATTTTCCAACTGTTGTTGGTCCTGTGAGAAACAATATCGCTCGGGAGGTAGGACGAGAGGATTCGTGTACCCACCTGACCAGGCGTAAATCCAATTCCTTGAACCGCATGAGCCAGCTACCCATTTCTTGTCGGTCGCGATAATTGATCTTTTGCTGTAGGAAAAAGGTTGTTACTCTACTCAGCGATTCGGTGGCTTCAATACGGTAACCAAATGCGCCGACTGTTGACATGTCAACCTTTTCATCAGATGTCGTCGGAATACAATTGTTTCCCTGTGTTGAAGAGAATCCGTTGTTCGAAGGTTCGCTAGCATTGTAGTCCGTGGGGAGAAAGGCGATGAGCCTTCCGATCTTTCCTGCCGAGCGATCCCAGATTCCAAAGAATGGTGTGGTGACCGCTTCTTCGTTATGCCATAAACCTCCATCGGCGGGGAGGCGCCGGTGAACATCGTTCGATGTTAAGCTAGTGTTCCATCTATAAAAGGCAATTAGTTTCTGTACAGGGTTAATTTGAGAGACGAAATGTACCCAGTTGTGACTGAACAAAATCTGGCGTCTGTTAATATTTCATACACATGTCATACACGAGGATGCAGGCTCACCTGTCCAAATTAAAAATGGTCCAAAACACGCGTCGCCTCTCTTCCTCCTCGACCCAGTCTTTGGCTTGGGGAAGAGACGGCCGAGGCTGCAGGACCGGATCTTTATCATGGTTTTCTGATTCGACACTCAATTGCAGATATTCCACCGTTCTGGTTAGTGAACCAACAATGGGCCACGCACGTGAAAGTCTACCGGACCCGATCTATACAATGTTAACTTCCTGAACTCTCTGGAACAAAGCCGGGCTCACGTACATCTTCAAAGCAAATGATAATGAGTGCCTGTAAATTCTCAACATGTAAATCATCCATAGCGGTCAAGACAACAATCTTCCGAGATCGCTCACAGATACTCTCTATGTCACCTAGATCCACTATGAGCTCTCGCGGGTAGACATGCCTGAGCAATGCAACAACCATTGCGTGAAGAACGACCTCCAAAGCAGGGTTATCATCTGGATTCTCCATTCGCTGACGGAATCTCTTCTCGTGGAAGATTGGAACCCATGGCTGCACTAGATCAAAGAAGAGATTAACGACAGCCTCCAGGACCTTTGGCGGCGGTAGTGTGGACGAAAGGCCTGGAAGATCATCTGGTTCAATGATTCGTCGTTCATTTCCTCGCCTGCGTTTGTTCGATGATGTAGACAAAGGCAAGGGCTGCGGTAATGGGTCATCCTCGAAATTTACCTCCTCGAGGGGTTCGTCAACTACTTCTGACCACCGTCTTTTCTGTGGAGAGTTGGACTGTAATTTTCCAAGAAGTAATTCTAGCCCTTCACACAGCGCAGAGGCCAATGAACTGGGGTCATTTGTACTTTGGCAAGGCTCATTGGTTCCCGCTTTACCCTGTTGGAAAACAGCATCCTCTAGGGTCTCTATTTGTTCTCGGATTAGCGCTTCAACGCCCTCTGCGTGTAGCACATAAATGAGGTTCAAACTCACCGACTCGTCGCCTCAAAGCCTCAACTGCACCAGTCTTGATACCAGGCTTCTCACGATCACCGTCATAGCTGCAGGTCGTTCCTAGACGTAATACGGCCAGGCCCTTCAGTCAGCCAGTGCGCCCTACTCAGAATCCTTAAGCCCAGCATACCAATTCTTCGGCAATGGCTGCATTGCGGAATGTCGCGTGAGCACCGGAGCTTGCGCTTGCGACATGCTCCACAGGCAGGTCGGTCCTCCATGTGGGCCGGATTGGGTTCGGACTCCATCTAGTTGGCTTGGCAGTGCTGCATGCCTCTAAGGTGCAGCTTGCTTCAAGTCGGAGAGGTCAGGTGGGCGAACACGCGGGCTAAATAGGCCGGGCAAATTCAGCCGGTGCAATTCAACCGAACGCTTACTTCTTTCTCCCGAGCCCCGAAGCGATCACCTGATTGCAATCCAACTGTGGGGAAAGTTGTGGGGTAACCCGAAGTAAATAAACCCAGATGGAATCAAGTGGGAGACTTCTCGGCCCGCTACGGTCCGAGAAGCTGCGCTGGCGCATACTCCTTCACAATTCACCCCCTGTACTTTGGGTTTGGGCGAATCAGGGATCTAAAAAGGTTCTTAATCCGGGGTGCAACGAACATGGGGAGGCGGGGACATCACACGGGGGATATTAGTCCATACACAGGGATCCTGGTGACATGAAGAGGGTTCCAAAGTGAATACGGCGCACTCCGTTTAAATACGGGCATGTCCGCCGTAATTGCTTTTTGGTTGATTTCCGTATATGGCAAAGTTCCTGAATATCGTTCCTTTTGAGAATCTTTTACTTGTGTATATGAAAAAGAAATCCTTCGAAATTTAAGATTCAGCGCCATCATGCTGGGCGTTGCTCTATTAAGTGCATGGCTTGTGGTCGGAGGATTTGCATACGGTGCAGTACCAAAACTGCCTAGACATGCTCCTATCTCCCTGCATCAAGACTTGTCAGCCAGACACTCCAGCAGATATACAGCAGTACCAAACGGGGAGGACTGGTATGATACTGATGGAGAAATTATCGGAGCCTGGGGTGGGAACATATACTTGGAAGACTCAATGTATTATTGGGTTGGACAGAGTGCGCCTTCTATCACCAATCAGACAAGCCCTGCATTGGTCAAGTACGTTGGAATATGAAACACTAGAGAGCAATTGCTGATGTTGCGAATCCAATCAGCTTATACCGGTCAGAGGACATGCTGAATTGGGAAAAAGTCAGCGTTCCAATTTCAGTCTATACTGCCGACGTTGAAGGGAATCGTCCTTTGGCTTACAGTCGGGTCGAGCGGCCCAAACTCATGAAGTCGAAGACGATTGGCAAATATGTCATATGGGCTGTATGTAGCCCCCACCCCCCCTGTTCCCCCTAACATCGTTACCCTATCAAGTACAGGGATTAATTCATTAATTCTTCATAGCACTGGGAATTGGCAAACTCGTATAGAGCATCCGAGGTTATCGTGACGACCGCTGATGAAGTGAAAGGCCCGTACACCATCACGTCCAAGGGCCATCATCGACCTGGGTCAAAAAATCAAGCGACCACTGCGATGGGGGTTCGTGTGGGTGGACTGAGATTGGACTTTAGCACGAGTGCCAAATCGTCGAGCGACAAGACGCACCCATACATGCCAAATCTGCCAGTATACCCGCCCACCATTGTCCAATATAACGCACCTGCAACCGAGAGCCCGCACAGCCCAGCATATGTACCAGCGTCCGAATATGGTACCGCAACATTCTCCAATATCCGCTTTAATGTGACCCTGAAAGCTATCGCTGTTGTCATGACACCCTGGGATGCCTCGCTCTATAATCAGTACGCGAGCCAGTACAGCGTATCCCAATCAACCTACATAGTTCAATACCCAACCGATGAGCAATCTCCCGTTACAAGGCGAGATTTTACTATTGGTATCCCAAGCAACTCGAGCACGGACCAAGCGCCCCTATCAATGGCCCGACTTTAAATGAATCTCAGTCAAACACAGTTGTCCTCATGAACGCTGGGGATGCTGCTTTAATTACAGTTTTGGATGAAGGTACTGCCATCTACTACACCACCAATGGGTCAGATCCAATCGCCAATTCACAACTTGAGTATACACCTGGCACTCGAATTACTATATCCGGAGCCGTAGGAACCAGTTGTACAGTCAAGGCCATATCGGTCAAGGGGAATCAAGTTTCAGCTGTGGTGACTCAATCTTACGAGATTGCATCAAATGCCGCTGATGTTCCGATCTTCGCCCTCCAGTGTAGTCTGGGGAACCCCACACCACAGGTCGTCTTAGTCCCTTTGATCACCGGCTCCTGCTCTCATTCATGTAGCGATGTCTGCTAGCTCTGCAAACTGACGTAGATTGTTACAACTCGTCTAAAATATGTCCTGATAAAATGCGACTTATGTCATCTGCCCTGGCCATCCCTATAAATACTAGGTTCTCTACGTTAGGAATACGGCGGGCGAGTTTCATTCAATTTAGCCTCCATCCTCAGAATATTTTACAGAATGTGTGCTCTATGGCTTAGCCTTTTGCTTTACTGGGGCTTTACCCTTCCCCAGACCTTTGCCCAAGAAACCTCATCCTTTTCCCGCCCACTTGATCTACAATTAAACCACCCGCTTGGCTTCATATATGAATGGGTCGGATCGTATGTACAGAACCTGGCTTTCAATCTCATTCTGAGCTTAGTTAAAAAAATATATTACAATGGCACTACGCAGCTTGAATTCACGCCGCACACAGAATGGACCACCGAAAGCCTTCGAAAAGAGAGGTGCCACTCCAATGATACGACTCTTACGCAAGATATGAAGAGCATATTCGTCATCACTGAGCCTGGAAATAACAGCGAGTCGAACCCCGTCAATATGGGCTGGGGCCTTTGGCCCCAAGATTTCAATTTTACTTCATGGGCGGAAGACAAGCAGTCGGCCAGCTGGGGCGACTCCAACACACTACATTTTGGTCCAGTCAAAGGCACTATGAGCTCCTTTGGTTTAAAGTCAGTCAATGGACCTTAGTGGCCTGATGCACATGTATTGACTTTATCTTTCTAGCGACCTTTCCCCACCTTTTAAGCTGGAATTAGCTAAGACTGACCATGGCCCGTATAATGTCTCGGGCAATGGCGGTCAATGGGCTGATAGTATCGGGATATTAAATTTATCCCAGTGCAGTGGAATAGAAAGCCAGCCAATGACTGTTGTGCCAGACCAATTGGTTGGCAGCCAGGTGACTTTCAATTTCCAATTTGATAGCAAGACAATGACTGCTACTTACTCAGCAACAAAGTCTATGATAACTTCATCCAAGGGCATGGTATATGGCGATGTCAAGATTACTATGGACGGAGTGATCGACTCATGGCATTCTGACTTGTTGAAAGGTGACAGTGTCACTCCATCTTGGCAGCGGACTGTGGGTTTGAAGAAGGGCTATTTTGGATACAGCCAAAGGAGCAGTGGATGCAAGGTTTTTCCATCACTGTTCATGGTTATTGCTCTAACAGGGCTATTGTCTGCTGCCTTCGTGAACATTTAACTAGGTGAAAATGACGTGCCCCAACAATGTTCTTCATCTAATTCTGTCTCCCATACAGTTGTTTTTAATAACGAGGTCGAAGTCAAGTTCTAGTGGAGTCTGTAAAACATTTATTTTTGATGTTTCAAAGCCTTTAATTGCCTACAGTAGTGAGGATACTCTCTTGTGACGCTGGACTATCTCGCCCTCAAAAGAAGATCCTGGTTGGTACCGATTTTCAAACCGCAGCTAAGACAGCTACGTATAGTGGACAGTTGTCATGGCTCTGGGTTCAGGAACAGGTATTCATTGTCAGAGTGACTAAACAGATTGACGGCCAGAACCCTTGCGATATCTCCGTTGATGACGCCGAAGATCTGAATACACGATACTGCGATGGTGACACGGCTTATTTTTTTGTCAAGAATGGTGTATTCTCGACCCCGTGGGACAAATTTGGTGTGGTCCCTGGCTTTGGAGAACTTCAAGATGAGCCCTGGTATCTGAATCCTCTCTATATAGCGACATCATCTTTCAATAGCCAGGTCAACTGCAACTGTTGGGAACCAGTACGAAATCTTACTGAGACAATTTCCTTTCTTGGCTCGAATGAAAAGCCTGCAAATAACTACATGACGAATCTGCCTGTCTGCGATCTCGATTACCTTTACCAGACAGGACAGTGGCCTTCGGGGTTTCCTGGGGAGGCCAGTGCATATTCGAGTTGGGATAAAACCGGTGCTGTGAGTTGTTATTTCCCCAAGTGATTCTCTCGCATAGTTTCTAATAGGAATTGAAGGTCTACCTGCGATGGATTATCCAGAAAGCCTGTTGGAACATGGTCGTTGATGGTCTAGCATTTCCCTATCCCAGGCTGGATCCTGACAGTGCATGCGCAGTCGCAAACGGTTATAACCCGTTCTCCACAGGTAATGGTTTTGGATCGTAAGAGTGAAGGCCGGAAATAAACCTCTGGCACCTTTACCCATGATCTTGGTAGAGGAAGAATTTAAGGCTTCACTATTAAAGAGAGGTTGGACATGAATACAATATCAGGACATATGAAATGTACTCCTAGTCCACGCATGATTATGATCCAACAACAACAACGATTCCGACAGCAGTGTTCAGTCATGTTGCTAGATAGAATTGGCGCGTTAAGTTGGTAGTTTCAAAAGGGGGAAATTTTATCATATGGGCGGCTTTATCATATGGCTGTCGGACCCTCGTTATATACCATTTATGAAAAGGGCCGGTTTACTATTATATAACCGCACTAGAAAAGAGCCTCTATCTGATATATCGCTACCGTTTATTAGCTATTAGACCGGCAACGCATTTCATGACTCACGAAATGGGTGGTCGACAAATGGCTCGGCCTAGCAGTGGATGTTTACTCAATAGACGGATGGAGTTCAATGATATTGCACTCGTATGTAGTGGCCTAATGTGAACGGATCCGGTTAATTCGCATTATCTTCAATATTAATACCGCATCGGACAGGATCAGGTTAAAATTAACATACCTGAGACATGAACAGGATCACTTTCGCATTTAAAGGAGTCTAGAGGCGGATAGGCATAGGACAGCTCAGTCGGGTAGAGCAATGATAGCAGAGAGACCATGTTCGTACAGAAATGATATTTTGACTAGGTACTGTAGTTGATCGGCGGGCATGGGTTAACACAGAAGCATTCTCTGGGAATAGGAGCATATCGACCATCTTATAGGTACTGGCTAAAACCTTTGAACGGAAACAAGTGACACACGGCGATGATTTTGAAGACTACGCTCTGAGGAATGGCAAAACTAATCGCAGCAGGGTGTTCACAGGGTATGATTTTCTACTAGAAAGGCCCAAAATCTTATTTCCCCTCTAGCAGGAGGCGAATTCGATCAATCCTTTACCAAGCTAACGCTCAAGAAACCCTAGTAGTACGCTAAGGCTGCAAGTCGGCGAATTTCCTAAGGCCTGTGAGAATGAGCATGGTTGTATTTAGCTTGGTAGTCAAATGAAATACCTACTGTGGGTACTCCGGCGGATTTATTCTGCTCTTTCACTTAATGGGCGGTCTCATTTCCTAGCGGACCAGTCCGCTGGAAGGCCGACGGACCATTCACCCGGCGCCCGAGGAAGAGCGCTCGGGCGCCGGGTGAATTGGGGCCACCATGCCACTTTGCCAAGGACTTCCTACAACCTCTCCAAAGCGTGGCCGTAATTAGATTTTGTGGACCCAGTCATGCGTTGCACTGACATAAAAGTCGCTCTTTCAAAAAAGGAATTGCAAGCTATTCCCATCATCTCTCCCTCGCAACCGGGACCTGAAGTTAGACAATCTCATTTACGAACTCTACGAACACACCATTGAGACATGCCTCCCCTGAGAGGGTTCTCTGATAATCCCCTACAAACAAGGGATGACTTGGAGTTGGCAGCTCTCTCCATACTCGAACCCTTGCATGCGTACTTCTCTCCTGGTCGAGCCAAAATTCGCCTCCCCGTTGGGACAGGTGCCCATTTTGATGACTTGGCTGCTCAACTGGAAGGGTTTGCTCGTCCCCTGTGGACAGTTGGTGCCATTCTATCGGAGTCAAGCCCAACGACAGTCAAGAGCACGGGGACAAAATTATCGGTCCATTCCAGGAAAATAATTGAGCCATGGATGGAAGGCTTTCGCACTGGCACCGATCCAGATCATGAAGACTACTGGGGCGAGATCACCGAACTAGGTCAGCGCATGGTTGAGGCTGAGATTATATCTTTTGCCTTGATCTCTGCCCCGGATTACCTTTACCACAACCAGGATAAGCGGACAAAGTACAATATCGAGGCTTGGCTGCGTGGTATGAACGACAAGCCAATGCCCGATAACAACTGGCGGTGGTTTCGAGTAATGTCGAACCTTGCTCTCATCCGTGTCTGCGGTGTACCAGCCCAAGAGCTTGCCAGCGCAACGGATGCTGACTTCGCTATTTTGGACTCATTTTACCTCGAGGATGGCTGGTCTGGTGATGGTCCGTGGCTGAGCACCGAGCAAGAAACGCAGCAAGACGCAGCCTACGAAAAGACAGGCCGAAGAGATGCGATAGGCCCCGGACGCCAGGCGGACTATTACTCTGGAAGCTTTGCAATTCAATTTAGCCAGCTTCTGTATATCAAATTCGCCAGTGATATTGATCCTCAGCGGGTCGCCAAATATCAGCAGCAAGCGAGGGAATTTGGGGCTTCGATCTGGAAGTATTTCGACGCAGACGGTAAGGATATGGTATAGTCCCAGCCGACCAATATTCCTGCTGATCACGAGTGACTTTAGGTTCTGCCATACCATTCGGTCGATCTCTCGCGTATCGATTCGCCTGTGGCGGGTTCTTTGCGGCTCTAGCTGTGGCAAAGGTTCCGGACATGCCATTCCCGCTGGCAGACCCCGGTAGTATCAAGGGC